GACGGGACATGTTGGTCTATCGATTTTAAAGTGCGAAATAACCGATGATTTTAAACCCGCAGCCTTTGCCACACTAACCCGTTGATTGTTTAATTTTCGGTTCTGACTTTAATATTCCTCTTCAGAGGATGGGCAATAGAGGGTAGCATCACGAAGATATTCCGCTGTTATCTCAACATCCAGCTGGCGAGAAATAACTACCAACTCTCCCCCCTTATCACTAACAGACAATCTTATTGTTTTCGAGTTTATTAATTCTCTAACTTCTCGCATGCCTCATTTTCGCGCGGCCGTAAAGTTAGAGATAAACCTTCTATCGCGGCAGTGACTAAGGGTCTTGAGAACGCCATCCGAAAACATGCGCAATTTTATGTCAACTCTGTAGTTAGGGTCTTGCTGTCTAAAAAACGCTCTAGGGAAAGGAGATGATGGTAATGCCGCCGCCTCTTGGCCTTCAGTTCTTTTTAATAATCCTTGTAATCCTGATAGCGGAGTCGATCTTGAAGCTCCTCTTTTAGGATTTTTTCCCATTGGAGCCGATGATGGCCAAACATTGTGGTGCTCGTGGACCAGTGATCATTGTTGAAAGATAGTGAATAATATTCAATACATTGAACCTAAAGCCATAACCTTCTTGAATAGGCGGCTACCAAATCTCCACCGTACTGCAAGAATCCTAATAGGGACATAGCTCTCCTGGAATCATTAGAGTCGACAACCACCTATGAAAGCGATCCTAAGACAAACAGACAGACAGACAAATTTAAGCGACAGCTGTTCATGACTTCTTTGATGATAGCTGCCACAGAAAGAGAAAAATATAAGAATGATGGAGAGTATCATTTACCTATAAGAAGCCCTGCATGGCAGGTCAGAAGAGGTGAAGGGACTACCACATCAACGGAAAGGAACGAAAGAACTTTAAGGCGTAAACATAACACGATGGTCCATTTACGTCCTCAGTGCACGAATTCATGAAGTCCATTGGTATTTGAGACCTCGCACGCCGCTATTTGTACGTAATCGTGGGCAGCGCTGAATCCAGACCGACTGCTATTTAGTACAATTTCGTTATGAGTGCTTAGAACTCACAACACTAGGTGTTCACTCTCACATCGGCACACCGAGACAACTGACCACCAGCTACACTGTCACAAAGACCGAGGATGTACATCTTTATTAATCAAGCGTGTAAAGAAATACAATTGTATGAGGTACCTCAATAAGTGACTTACATAAAACTTTAGTAGCAATAAACAACAACATTCATTATTGAGCTGACATAAGGTAGGCATAAAACCATTCGGCTAACGCTTCGTCGCTTTCGCCTCCTTAAGAGCCGCATTGATCCGAGTCGATGGTCCACAGCTGGTCATTGTCGCGATGGGTGTTCGTTGTCGTGTCGAGTCGGATCCAGTGGAAGGAGCACCACTCGAACGCGGAAGATCACTAAGATCCGGCCTCTATAAAGAGGCACCGCCGAGTGAAGTTCTCCGTTCAAGGGGTGCCCCTTGCACTGGACACGACTCGACGCGACAACGAACACCAACAACATAAAGACCAGCTGTGCACCAGAGATTCGGATCAGTGCATCTAAGAGGAAGGCAAAACCGCTGAAATATCAGCCGAATAAAAGCTTTATACCAACCTCGCATCAATTTAATCATGTACAAAAGCGATGTGCAGTGAGATCTCTAGAGGAGTGGAGCTACAGGACCACAAATTTATGGCCCAACTTTCCTCATCTTCGAACCGAAAGCCTTTGGCTTCCTGGTAGATTTGCCGATGGGCTTCTTAGCGGTCTTGACTTTGGGAGCGCTGGCCTTCTTTCCCGCTTTAGGAATCCTCGTCGCTGCTTTGGAAAACTTGTGCTTCCTTACAGCCACTTTCCCGCCGACAAGCTGAAAGCGGGACCTCGATACCGTTACATCACCCAGGCTTCACAAGAAAATTTGTGGAACATTCGCCACCTACCTTCTTAGAAGCAAGGGCAATCCTCTTCTCACCAAACTCGAGGCTTCTAGATGCTCCGTTTCCATTGACCTGCCTCAGCTCACCTTCCATCACGGCCTCCTCGGGTACTTTGCGGAGCAGAGAGTCAACCTGCAACAAATCACATACCAAGGAGTAAACATTAAAACATGATAAAGGCGGTCAAAGAATCACCACAGCCACATTATCCCCAGGGTTGTAGTGTGACAGTACGAGCTTCCGGATGGCAGTCTTCGACGACCCAGGCTTCTCCTTCGGTTCGCCCACAGAATTCCGGACCATGGCCGGGTGGCCGGGATGAGACCAAGCCTTCTTTGCAGCGTTCTGCTTGGACGCCTTCACAGATTCACGGCGAGAACGGGCGGCATCGGCGGCATCGGCAGCATCGGCAGCATCGGCAGCATCGGCAGCATCGGCAGCATCGGCAGCACCGGCAGCATCCGCGGCATCGGCGGTCATACCGATTGATCGAGAGCTGAACAGTGAGCGGGTAGCGTCTGCTGCGCCGGCTTATCTACTACGCAGGGTTCCCCCTCCGCGCCTCCAGCAGAGTGGGCGCCGTTGTGGACTTAACTGCGCGGCACTGTGTTTAGTGGCGCTCGAATAAAGCTCTATAAAAATGGTCTTGTTGCATATTGTTATAGAATTTCTGTTATAAATATAAGGCGCATTTATTTATTAGAATACAAAGACTTCATGGCTATACCACTCGCTAAGAAGAGTTCACACGGGTTTAAGTACAACGCGACAGAGTCGTGGCGTCAAGTAGTGCCAGTTTGGTGGAAAAAATTTTCGTTGTTGAGCAATTAAAGAATAGAACGACCACAACACCTTTAAACAAAACCAATTAGGCATAGAATTGTGTTAAAAATTAGTTGCCTTTGAAACGCTACAAAAACGTGCCACAATGGAAATAGCTGAGAGACCACGTAGTTGGATACTTTGATAGTTGGAGGCCTGTCCTCATTGGCTGTGCGGCTGCCAGCATAATCTCCATTTTCCGGAGTTTTGATGGTCTAACCATGGCGTTTCCCTGGTGGCCCGTGGTCAGCCTGGCCAAAGTCCGCGCCAGTTGTCATCACCACACGCAGTCGCTGCCGTTGTGGATCAGAGTGAGATTTTTCAGCATGTTACTTTGATACCAGGACGGTGCTAAATCCTCGTAATGGTTTACTCTTAGCTAGGCTTCCTGATAGAAACGCTGGACGCCTTTTCAGCTTGGGAGAACATGCCGGGGGATAAATCCCCCGCTGTACATAAGAGCCCGACACCCAGCAACACCTCCCAGCTACGATGACGCGTTAACCGATAGGAGATGAGAGTGTAGACGAGCAGAAAATTCGATGGAGCAAGATTTCGTCAATAGTTTTGGACTAGCGACAGTTTCGTTTTGAAATATTCCAAAAGTATGGTTCTATAGCAGTACAATCTTTCATAAACATTGAATTATAAATAAGCTCTGAAGCACTCGCCGTTGGCGATTCCCTGAAGGTTGCGCCATATGTTCATCTTCATCAAACATCGTTGGAGGTGACTGGATGCATATGTGCCCTTTCCAATGACCCGCCGTTGCCTATCGATGTATCGAACTAGTGTATCCTCCTAGAGAAGTCTGGTAGCTATGGCACGACCTCGTGGACTTCGTGATTTTTCCACGAATACGCCACAGAGTGTCCACCAAGGCAATTACGAAATAAAAGTTGTATACAGTAAGAGAATACTTTGCGTTAAGAATACAGTGACAGTGACAGCAAAAATACATCTCTTTGGTGAAACGATAAATGGCGAAGCGCTCAAAATGGATCACAGTGGGTCTGTGCTATGCATTCGACTCTATTGAGCACAGCGGAGGTTACTGAATGCGTGTTTCTCTTACACAATGACTCGTTGTTGCCTGCCAGAGTATCAAATCATTGTTTTTATCCTCCCAGTTATGTTCGTTACCAGATTGTTAACCCTCAAGGGATAAAAGGCCAAGTTTACACGGGATGCTGGACGAACCGTTAACCACCTATTGCTACAGGGCATCCATAACCACCACGTTGTATAAGCCCGTGCTGGTATTAAGCTATTTCGAGGCGTCGGTCGGAAGGAATGTTAAGGAAAATTTGTAAACTTCACCGGAAGCATAGTGTCCTAATAAACTGCACTTTAACCACGGACTTTTCAAGAGTGTTATAAGGTTTTTAGTGCATTAATTCTCTGGTCCTTCCCAACGCTTTTTCACTACACCTTGGGTGGTAGGTGTTTCTGGGTGTGGGGCTGCGATGTATAACGGTGGGTTCATCACTAAGGAGAGCCTCGCAAGCTAAGAAGTAGTCCCACGTTCCTATCAGGAAGCCCAGCTGATAGTAAGCCAATACCAGAAATCATCACTGTCCTGGTACCAAATTAATCGCATATTGGCAAATCTCGCTCTGTTCCAGAAGAACAGCGACTACTTGGGGTGGTGCCGGCCTGAGGAAGGCTTCGCCTGGGCTAACGGGACTCCAAGGAGCCAGAGTGGCTGACTACACCTACAAAATTCCGACAAATGGAAACTATGCTGAGTTACGCACCTTTTGATAATACTTGCCTTTAGTGGTAGCAGAACAGTACCTTCACTTCGTCCAAGCACAGCGCATGCTGATCGAACCCAAGTCCACAATCTAAAGACATCCAAAACCCTTAAGCGCGCGTTATTATTATTTTACGTTTTCTACAGATATGAACTAATCCAGCAACGGCTAATCGTTTTATTGTAACTTTGTGGCTGCGGAGTTTTCCTGGATATCTGAACGGTGGGCCACGATATATTATGGATGGGGAAGAGTTCATCATTCCAGCGGAATCTCGCAAGCTAAAGGAGAATTCGACATCCCGAAACACAGCCAAACCCAGCATATTAGCGCCACGTATCACCGCCGTTATGCCGACAAACTAGTCGCAAGGTGAAAAATTTCCCTCTGCCAGCAAAGGAGGACGAATCTCTGTGGTGATGTCTTAAGACGGATGTAACTGGACTGTCTTTTAAGGGAAACAACGAAGAAATGCTTATCATCGTCTCACTGTTTGTTCTTGACAGGTAGTGAAAAGCACGGGAAGAAGAGATCAGTTTTCGAGTTGCCTCAAAATCCTATGAATGATAAACCATCGAAGGAACGTTATATGGAGGTCACCTTCTCCGATGTTTCTTTTAAGGCCGCAGATTGAGCCAAATTTTTTATGGAATCTTACAAGAGGAACCAAGCAAGAAGAGCGAAATACACGAACTAAATGACGAGATTATTGTCATTAATGGAAGGGAAATTCCACAATGCAATGTCAATGGAATAGGCACCATTGCGTAGCCCTGTGTTACCTGTTGTATCGGCTCATAGGAAACTCTTTTACTCGCCTAGCTATGAGACATTGCTTCTAGAGAAGGTCGACGTCATCAACGGCTATTCATCAACCTGTGCAGCTAATCGTAGCAAATTATATGCGTTTTGTAAGAATATACAAGAAGTAATCCGTAAAGGAAAAGCTCTTATAGAATTTATGTTTTATTAATCAGCAAAGATTAGATTGTTACTGCAATGTTTTCTTCATGATGCCTAATATTTCGGCAAATTTCGCCTACTTCAGAGCCTGTTAAGGTCAACTTGGCTTGAATTCTAGTCAGCCTTCTATAACCTAAACAGAAGAACTTGAAACTTAATTTTTAGTGTCATCTGAAACGACTTCTCGAAACACTCATTGCCAGTTTAGTAGCACTTTGGTCCTAGAAACTATATGATGCTTTCACACAAATCTGCTGGTAGAAGAATCATCACAAGATTGCAAAGAGCTGGAGGAAGTGGAGTGGAAACACGGCCACAGAATTTAGTCTTTTGCATCGAATTTAGACATTGAAATGTACTGCACGACTCTCTCAGCGCATCACGCCCTTCCCATGTCAGTTCATTTCTGTAAAAGAAAGCAAATCGCCGCTGGATATGAGAGCTGCTTAATAGCACGAGTTCGTGGTGCCTTCTTTACAACTCCATGGTGGCACCATTCTCTGCTGAATTTATTCATCACAATCCTCGCACGAAGATTCAACAATGCATTCCACTTCATTGAGCATCGCTGGGGTGATTGAATGCATATCTGGCCTTTAAACTGACTCGCGGAGGGCTATCGATGCATTGAGCGAGTGCTGGTATCCTCTCAGACAAATTTGTACCAATTTGCTGACTTCGGAGGGATGGAAGGCTTGGTGGTCCATGGACGCGGGAAACAATTTCACGTATGTGCTGCAGGGCTCCTCCAGCCACTGCGCCACAGGCGCACTTTGCTGGAGAGAAAAAAATTAGAGCTTGATTAGAGAGCAGGATGCCTAATACAGCTGCAAACGCCAGCTGTAGAAATTCTACCCAGGAGAACGTACATTGCAGTACAGGCAAAGCTCACTTCTCCCAGTCCAATTAGGAACACTCTAACACAGCTATCTCAGGACTCCAGGAAGAAGCAACTCGACCTCGTTTTACTCGCATTCATCGTTCACAATGATCTTCGTGTTGTTTTGACTGCTGCTTGAGGATTTCGTCTTCTTTACGAATGTCGTAATATGTTCTTCGAATCAATTCCCCTTGCAATCTTGGAGATTGCCGGACTAAGGTTTCCCATGTGGAATTGAGGTGGGCGTTAGGGAGAGGATCGAACTGGCGCCTTTGCTTCCTGATCGACGGCATCGTTAACCACAGCATATCCCCCCTTTCTCCATTGCTCTCTTCTTCTTCTTTAGCCGAGAAGGTTCTATACGAATGTATAAGTGGTTTTGAACACTTTTTTCAAAAAGATCGCTCAAAAATTGTAAGGATTGAGAGTTGTTTCCAAACATGCAATGCAATAAATCACATCAGTGACCATCTACTTTCTTAACTCCCAGCGCTTCCTAGACAGTATTTATAATTTTATCAGCATCAGCTATATATATGTCACTGACTAACGTAACGCGCCCAAGGTCCTCTCGATAGCTTATATCTTTACAGTTTTTTTTCGAAGTGTCGTATTTCAAGGTGTGTCGCCGCAAATGCACACGTGCGACTGGTTGGTTTTTGTAATTGAATATAGGTAAAGGCTTTTCTGATCTCATTCATACTGCTTTGCTCTGCTTTAGATTAGCTATCGAAAGGGTATACATAGTCCATTTAGAAAGTTTCGGAACCCGGCGAACGGATGATGGACACTGCAGTGTCCATACGGGGTGTTATGGGTCGAGCATGCCGAATTGGAGAGCAAAACAGTGATCCTCCATGTTTTGAGGATTCGGAGTTTTATTCGAGAACTGCATGATGTACTATGGAAATGTGACGAAGAGGAGAAGATCTATAGAAAGCGTTATCGGTAGAAGTGCACCAAGTACTCGAAGATGCGTGAGTGTTCAGCTTTTTCGAGTGTTTCTGTCGTTTTCGCAAAACTTTGAAACGAAGTCGTTGTTTTCTTTTTATGGAAATCAGGGGATAAGGCGACCTAATTTTGTACAAAAAACGAGAAGAAAAAGAAATGGCTAGCGAGAGAGAGAGAGAGAGAAATTAGGGATATCGTACTGATTTTTTAGATATTGTTGTAATGGTGCGTCTTGCGAACGTTTCTGTTTTGCTGAAGGATACGGTGAATGAGCGAGTCAACTGCTCCTCTTACAGTCATAGTCATTTCACCTCAGAGATTTTTTATTTACTTGTCTTCTCCTGCTCCTGCTGATCACACTCTGCTCATTTTTGTTTTCTTCTTTCACACTTTTCTTCATTCTTGCTTATATAACTTATATTAGTAGTACAACGTTTCTATTTCACTTTAAAAACGAGCTGTTTGCTACTGTTAGAATGAGATATGATGTTAAAGAGATATCTCATTGATGAATGGAGGGATCGCTGGTGTTATTGACAACGGCGACGTATCCGAATGACCAAGGAAGTAAGTTATGCCGTATAGTTGTGTAGATTCCGTATCACTGGCTGCATTCGATTAGATTCTTCATGTGTTCAGTGACAGGAAGACTTTCTTCGAAAACGTCGACTTATGACGTGACTTGATGCTTGGAATTGAGGAAGTAATTCAGGAACTGGGTGAGATGTTCCAAGATCTGAGCAATCCCGTGATAATTGCAGGCTTGTTGCTTGTCTATTTAATTTATGAATGTTCTTCATTCTGTCAAAAGAAGCTGCAATTGCTTATCATAGGGAGTTTTGCTTTCAGTTTTCTATCTATCCTTCTTTTAAGGAGGTGTGTGTCGCGCAGTGGTCGGAGACGCTCTGCAACACACGTGGGGTCGATCCAAGCGCCCCAGACTCACCAATCCTCCCATCCCTCTGGGGTCGGCAAATTGGCGCCAAATTATCCTGGGAGGATAACATCACCGGCTCCGTACATCGGTAGGCTACCGCGGATCATTGTCAAAGCCAGATATGCGTTCATTCACCTCCAACGATGCTTTGTGAAGTTGAGTGCGTGACATATCCCTCAGGGATTGCTCAACGCCAAGCGCTTTATCCTTTTTTATTTACCATTCATTAATTTGTTATAAGCAACGAGACCATAGGAGGAATCTTCGTTTTCTGTCTTTCGTAAATATGTGATGTTTTTGCTCTTGCTAAGTGTTGTATCGTATAGTCTTAGAATATCAAAAAATTATTTCATTATAAGGTTAAATGATGGCGAGAAATGGTGATAACGTTGAATATGCGGTGGGTTAAGCCGATAATGCGAAAAAAAATGTGAAAGATTCTCATGATTTACAAAAAGGAAGGCTCGTGTGTTAACTCTTAAGTAAAATCTGTTTACACTTTGAGAAGTCGTGGGGATTATTCGTTTTGAAAGTGATCTGCCATTTCGAAGGAAATGATGTTACCAGGGTTATTTCTATTGTGCGTAGTATTTCAGGCGGAGGTGTTAACCTACTGTACTGATAGTTACCTTTGTTCTCATCACTCATCATTACACTTTAAAGACATTCAATGTTTTACCGTTTCACTCCGATATGTCAGTTTCCCTTGCTGAAGTGTTTACTTGATAGGTGATTCCTTCTAACGCTGTCTTGAGTAGAGTTATTCCTTGAATTACTTGGATGGGCCGTCTTCAGTGGTTGTGCGGAGCCCAGCACAATTTCCATTTTCTCGGAGTTTTCCTGGTTTAGCCATTGTGGTTCCCTGGTGTCTCGAGATCAGCCTGGCCGAAGTCTGCCCCAGGTCGTCACCACCTTTTTGGATAAGAGGGAGATTTTCTACCATGCGCTTAATTCGATACCAGGACTGTTGTGAATCCTGGCGTTGGTTTACTCTTAGATGGGCTTCTTGATAGAGATACTAGAGACTCCTTTTCAGTTTGGGAGACTCTACTGGGAATGAATTCCCCGCCGTTAATCGCAACATGACACCCAGGAACACCTCCCAGCCACGATGAGGCGGTAAGCCATTGGGAGAATTCTCTGAATTGCGACTTACTAACCCACAGCTTAGTTAGAGGAGCACATGAAAAGTCAGGGTCATTTACAGAAGACGTGGTTGGATTTATTAATCTGATTGCTCAAGTGAATGACCTTAGGTCCTGAATTTGCTGCGATTAACATTTTCTACTTCACATGTGCCTTTCTATTTCCACAATTCAACTCACACTTCATTAATTCTACTCAATTTTGACGTTTTTCGGATTACTTCATTTTTCGGCACTTCTACGCTTTTGTGTCTTTGTAAAAGATTGAAAAAGAGTGAAGTTGTCCACCTACAACTTTTGCTGCAGTGTGAGTTCAAATATCTCCTCTTCTATAATGATCCACTCGGCTTTGCTTATTGATAATTGCTGCTGATTGATCCTTATTGATAACTTATTGGCGGAAATTTTCCTTCGCTGTTAGATGTATATTTCCTGGATAAAATTTTTTGATTTTCATTCGATTTGATTTGTCATTTTAAGTGAGTACCTTGTGCCTTCGAATACGTAGGCTTCTTTAGTTTTATAATTTGATTCATTTCCTTTCTAGCTAGCAGTCTTGTACTAGCTGTTTTTCCAACACTGTTGATGTGACATCCTCATTGTGAGATCGATCGATCGTAGATTTTTTTATACCCACGTGTACCAGTGCCCCACCTTAGATTTTTTAGTAGAATGGCACATATTTTTCTTCGGGAGAGATAGATTAGATTCCTGGCGGTACCCAAGTAGATGTTACATTACGTAGCTTCCGTTGATACCGTAGGGTTTAAGGTTATAACTTTAGCACTCGTAGTGGGGATCTACACTTTTGGGACTTATGTAACTTTTTCTGCTTTAGATGAACGCTTCTAACTGGGAGATGGATAGTAGAAGTAAGTTCATGCCCTGTTTTGACGTGTCGGTGATTTTCCTCTATGTCTTGCAATTTTAGACTGCGGAGGATGTGAAGGACCTGACGCGCCATATGTGAAATTGGTTAGCAGTGATGGACACCAGTTCTACATAAAAAAGGTATTCGGCCTAGAAATTTCTTTTCTGATACAACTGATTCATTTCCAAGATTCAAGATTTCCAAGAAGTCACTAAAGTTCTGGAAATTATGGCGTTGAAATGCTCTATTGAAAGGAGAAATTACTATCCTCAGGAAAAATTGAGCGATTACACTTATCTTGCTATTGATATGTCCCTAGTTTTTAAGAGTTTTTCTCTGGAGTCTCGAGAAACTCGTGACGTAGTGTTCATATGTCATTACCACTGGCATTTGCCGACGCTTTTCTGTCGGATGAGGTCTGGGAAGACGTCGATTTATGGCTGTGATTTATTCCAACATGACTTCTAAATGCAAATGTAAAAGTCCTCAGCTTGGATAACACTGTAGCGGAAGTGAATCTCCATTTTACGTCTGTGTCGGAAGCCCAGTGAGAACTCTTGAAAATCGTTTTCGGTTTTGCAATTTTGCAATTTTTCCCGCTACACGTAAATTAGAGGCATACATGAGTTAATTTCCACTCATAGGTACGAGATAGGCTGACTAAATGACGAAAATTGATATCGGCTTGTTTTGTTCTAGGTCGTAAATTTAGTTCCACAGAGATTTTTGTGTACTTTTGATACTCAATCTATGACTTACGCAACATAGATGCTCCACCAGGTGTCGGCCCAGAAAAGCTACATTGTACTTTCGTACTTGGATAGCGTACTTACTTGGATACCTGGATGGGCCGTCCTTACTGATTGTGCGGACCCCAGCATAATCTCCCTGTTTTCGGAGATTTGCTGGTTTAGCCATTGTGGTTCCCTGAAATCCCGAGTTCAGCCTGATCAGTCTGCCTAGATCGTCACCGCTACAGGCAATCGTCGCCCTTGTGGACTAGAGAGAGATTTGCCATCATGCGACTAGTGTGATACCAGGACAGTGGTGGATCCTGGTATTGGTTTACTCTTATCTAACTTTCCTGGTTGAAACGCCGGACTCCTCAACTTGGGAGACACTTACAGGTGAATCCACCGGCTGTACATCAGAACCTTACAAACAGGAACATCTCCCATCCTCAATGAGACGGTACACCGTTGGGATGTTGTTGGACCCGAGGGCTGAAAGTTTTTATGAAACTTTCATAACAGGTTATAGTATAAAAGAAAACTCTTTCGGACGCGTTCGTTCGTTAAGCCATAGAGATCTTTGTAAAGATAGTGAGAATGTCACAGATGACTGGGTACGTTTCTGCGTCCCGTATTAGTTCGGCAGTGATTCATTGCATTTTACACCTATACGGTAGCGTAAGGGCTGTTGCTAATGAGTTAAGCATATCTGACTCATGACATGGATAGTAGATCGACCGATATGAAGTGGTTTGAATTCGTGGGAGGTGCGGTTGAAAATTCATCGTTACAAGGGAAGGGTTAGTTGCACAAGCTTGTTGAACCTTTTCTATTAATCAAAGCGACCTAATTTTTCTTCGTTTATTTGCACACCTCGATATTCGCTCCCGCCTTCCTTGCACAGTTTTTTTTGTTCCTATCATTCTTCTTTTTTCGAGGAGGGATTCATCTTCATTCGTGAGCATTCGTAACCAGCATAGCACCATCCGATTTCCACGCGAAACAGTTAACTTTCCGACCGGTTTCAGTTTCGTTACGACGTTACTCGAAATGATTAAAGGACAGCATCAGGAAAAACCGTCTTGTTTACCAACTCAAAAGACCGTAGGTCTCGGCATAAATGATCGGTTTATTTATTTATACTTTTTATGAACTGATCTAGTTGAGCCGACGCTATAAGTTTTCATTGTCGTTGTTGTTGGTGGTTGTGGTGGTGGTCGATGGCTGGCGTTTCGGAGATTTCGCCTTCATCAGAACCATGCTGTTACGAGTGGGACTGCTCTCAAGACCGACTTTTTACAAGCCTCGGCATAAATAATCGATGTCCTTGTTTATTTGTTCTTGTGGCAGTCCCACTCGTAACAGCACAAGTCTGAGGACGATGAAATCGCGAAAACGTCAGCCATCAACCAACAACAACAACAGCGACAACTTACGCCGACCTCGCATCGACTGAACAGGGTAGGTTCATAAGGACATATAAATAAATATATGGTTATTCCTACTATTGTAAATCATCTGGTTTGATAGAAGATAACTTGAAATGTAGCAGTGATAAAAAGAACTTTCTATAAATTATTAAACAGGGAGGAAATTGAATGGTACTATGATTTACGAGGAAATTAATTCATAAAGAGGTGGAACCTAATAGTTTTCACTCTATCGCTGCTTTGAATGGTTTTCAAATACGAAAATAAAAGTGAAAAATTTCCACTTTTTTCATGGTGATCTTAGCATACAACGATTTACAGAACAACGCTTACATTGGTATTTCAGGTGTAGTTTCGTAAGTATTTCATCTGCATCTCCTACCCTACTCTGATTGTTGAGTGGTATGATGCTCTAGTTGCCCATATTACTTCGTACTCTATGTTGTTCTCTTGAGTGCGAAGCACACTGTACTTCTTGTCGTTTCTCCGTTGGGAAAGTGATTGGTTTGTCATTGGTTTAGTCATTGGTTCTGTGATGTTCGTCTTCTACTCGTGATATTCCATGGAACTCAATTCCTAACGCATGATATCCACTGATGATAGCCAAGAAGCATCACATATTCGGTCCTCTTCTCTTCCAAAACCTAACCCACCTAATCTTCGTTCATCGACGTAGTATTGGTACTAAGATTCGCTCCTCATTTTCCTGAAGCGGAGTAATACCATCTTTCTTTCCACATAGTGTTCACTTACCTTTTACTTTCGAGACCAAGTGCTTTAGGATTTTCCATCTGAAATGTCTTAGAAATGAGTTGAGAAAGGCGCTGGAATACATGCTCATTTTCTTTGGAATGCTAACAAGAGATGTGGAGGCCGCACTTGATGTTACCATAGTAGAACCACATGTGATTACCACTGTCTTGGCTGATGCAGCGGCTGTTCTGTTGTATTTGAATTTCGAAGAACAGTAATCCTGACAGTACAATTAGAGAACGCATCTCCATTATATGAAGGATCTCGAGCCGGTTAGTCGCGAGGATACGTGACGTTTATTATGGCGACCAAGACAATCCATGGTAACTCGCAATTCCAGAAGCCCCACCCTCAGCGCTGGATGTGGGAGCCTCCCAATGGAGAGTACCATAACGAAATAGACCACATCATAGTAAATAGAAGGATTTGCGTAACTGAAGTCGCTGTTGTCTAAAAATTCTACCCGAGATCAGACTATCGTCTCCTTCGTGCAAGATTCTATTTCTCGCGGGAAGGAGGAAAAGCTGCTAAATTCCAAAACCGAGGTCCCAGAACCACCGTAAACTGGGAATTAATCAATCCATTAGTCAGCTGTTGGGAACATGCCGTTGTCGACAACATCGACGAAAAATACGACCGGCTCATTCAACATCTTAACGCTAGCGCTATGAAAGCTCAAAGTTCGAAAGTCACCAAGAGACGTCTGTATCCAGAAACACTCAAGCTTATATGCCAGCGTGGAATCGTACGAGCTGCAGGCAACCGCGAACTAATGTCCAAACTTGCAAAACAATGCAGACAGGCGATAGAGGAGATCCTAAAGAGAGAAGAGCAGAAGTAACTGTCGAAGCTGCAGAGGCTGTCGCAAAGTCTACCGAAGCTTCGCCAATTACAAGACCAAGGCGATTGCACTCTGACGCCCCGACGGAGCACTTACAGCGTCCAGAAATCGAATGCAGAAAATGATTCAGGAACACTACTCAGATCTCTTCGATAGCCACATCCACCTTTCGTCATATGAAATAAAGGTGCATGGAAATGTTGTACCACCGGTTCCCCTTTCCGAAACCCGACATGCCATTTCATTCCGTGAAAAATCGAACAGCAGCAGGTCCGATCAGGATAAGACTAGAACATGTGGAGAACCCTCCGCCAGCTCTCGTAAACACACTGGCTCGGCTCTTCACATGTTACCTGTCAGTGGAAGGTCAGGAAAACCGTGTTACTATACAAGAAGACCAGCAAGACCGTGCTATTGTTCAAGAATGGTGACCCGCACGTTATCGGCAACTATCGCCAAATCTGCTTATTGTTTGTCGTCTACAAACTTTTCACTCGAGTCGTCCTAAACAGGATTGGCAGAACACTAGACGAAGGAGAGTCATGTGAGCAAGCAGGGTTTCGAAAAGGATTTAGCACGATGACCGCGCCCACACGGTAGCATGGCTCATTGAAGTATCGCGAGAAGACAAAAGACCACTCTATCTCACTTTCATCGATTTACAGAAGGCCTTTGATTCAGTTGAGATAGAAGCAGTCTTGGAAGCCCTCGATTATTAAGAAGTCCCTACTCAGTACATAAAGATTCTTCATGAGCTGTACAAAAGTTTCACAACCAATATATCACCATTCTACAACGATGTTAACATTGAAGTGAAAAGACAGTTAGACAAGACGATACCATCTCGCCAAAATTATTTACCGCCTCCCTCCAGAATGTCATGCGAACATTGGAATGGGATAATATGGGAGTGAAAATCGACAGTCGACAGTTACACCATCTTCGCTTTGCTGATGACATCGTCCTCATAACACCAAACATTAGCCAAGCGGAAGGCATGCTTGTCGACTTTGATAAAGCCTGTGGAAAGATTGGTCTTCGACTAAATCTCACAAAAAACGATGTCCATGAGGAACACACTGCTATCGTATGCCCCATTCACGCTCAACGGAACGAATATCTCCGAATACTGCAGTCATCTGTTTAGGTCGGGAAATCAATATGATCAACGACGTAGTTCCAGAGCTAAGCAGAAGAAAACGAGCGGCATGGGGAGCTTCCAAGAGCATCGAAGATGTAGTGAAGAGAACAAAGAGCATCCGACTCTATCCCCACCTTCTCGACACAACGGTACTTCCTGCCCTAACGTATTCGTCAGAAACCTGGTCGCTGCGTAAGCTGGATGAAAGGCCACTCAGCGCTATCGAACGCGCAGTCGAAGGGACGATCCTAGGAGAATCCCGTTTCACACATATAAGGGGTGGGATTCGAAGCTCCGGTTTGCGTCAACGATCAAAAATCAAAGTTGCGGTTCTGTACGCCAAACAGTCGGAGATAAGGGGTCGGACACGTAATGCGTATGAGTGACAACCGATGGACAAGAGCCGTTAGTAACTGGATTCCTGGGGATGTCAAACGTTCTGCAGGATGATCACGGATCCAATGGTCAGAGATCTTCACCAAAGGTCTTGAAGAAGGGTATGATGCCCGACGAGTCCCTAGAACGAGGAGAACCCACTGGGCTACTCTTGCACGCGAACACGAAAAGTGGATGATTTACTGGCGCCCACTCGAGTCTGTCGACAATCAGCGGGACTACAGGTGGTACAGGTGATGATGACCATGTCTCTTCAGCATGTTCTTTTTGTTGCCTTCTTTTTATAGTGACAATCATGATGAATCCAGATAGTTCCTCGGATTATTCACTGCATTTCAGTTACGGGTTAGATGCTAAGTACTTTAAACGTTACTTGCTACTTGCTACTTGAACGACTCGTTTGATCACACAAGTAGAAGGTAAATTGTCCAATACGAGGAAATGGAAAGTCTGTCCCAAAAGTGCTTACTTGGCACTTAAATGGCCCATCCTTACTGGTTGTCCGGTCTCCAGCATAATCAACATTTTTCGGAGACTTGCTGGTTAAGCCGTTGTGGTTCCCTGAAATCTCGAGGACAGCTTGACCAAAGTCTGCCCCACTTTAAACGTTAGAATGCTAATTTAGCAGCTGAAGTAGCTAAAGATGATCGTATAGGTGTTTTCTTCTTTGTGTCACTGATTAAATTATTCTTTTAGGAGCTGGCTCTAACATCTGGTACAATCAAAGCAATGTTGAGTGGACCTGGGCAGTATTCTGAGACTGAGAGTAATGAAGTGAACTTTAGAGAAATTCCGTGAGTTTTTCATTTAATGTTAGTTCATCTATTTTCGTACCAAATATATAAATATGTACATCTATGTGTTTATGTGTATGTATGTATATATTCATGCATATGAACTTCCATGGAGTTGTTTTTTTTGTATGGTTACGCGGGGAATGAAACTCAAATTTGCAATTAAATTGATTTCGTTTGAAGTTTACTTTTCTGTAGTATTTGTTTATGAGGTTTTCAGCACAGTGACAACCTCGAATTTGACGAAGGTATTATTTCAAAGTCGACAGTGTATTTTACTAGAAGTTCTGGTAGCAACCTGTCTAGCTATTTTATTAATTCGAATTTTCAGTTCGCATGTGCTCCAGAAGGTATGTCACTACTTTGCGTACAAAGTTCGCTATACAAGTTCGGCTACAGAGATTCCCGAGTTTATTATTTCTCCCGAGGTGGCACTTGAATTATTGATGGCGGCCAATTTCCTGGATTGCTGAGCTTGGTATCTGTGTCGCTGTTATGAAATCAGATTTGCTGTAAACTGGTTGTTGCCATCAATCTGTTATTTTTATGGAAATCTGGTTTTCGCTGTCAAAATGAAATCTCTGTGGAAATGTGAGTTGGTCTTTGCTGTAAAAATAATATTGTTATGGTAGAATTGTTATGCGTTAGATATCTCCATCTCTTCGAGCCGCATGTTTAACCTGTTCTGTCATTTAGTGTCTGTGTTGAAAGCGTACACTAGAAGACGCCACCAAACGGATTTCAGTTATATATATATATATATTATATATATATAATATATATATATATGTATACATATACATGTATATATGTATATGCATACATGCGTATGTATATACGCATATGTCTATAATATGCATGTTTATGTGTATATAACGATGTGTTTGGCTTTAACCACTTTAAGTTATGCTTTTACCTCAAAATGTGTTAAGAATATAAGCAGTTTTCTTTCCGTTTGTGATGTTTATGTGTGGTACTAGTCGCCGTGATGTTTGGTTTTGCAAAGGATTCATTCGTTTAAAAATTCATTTTCAGAGATGAAAATGGGCGTATTTGAAGCGATTTTTGGATTAGTCGTACGCTAATGATTTTAGACGTTGTGTTAGAGGCTATAAGAGAGTCATCTTACAGGCCTCTGTTTGTCTCTTTATTGATTCCATTGGCGACTCTTTCTCAAATATTCTGGGCCACACTTAAGCACAGTTAACGGTTTTTTCCTTCTTTGAAAAAGTGAAGCCTAAATTCGACATTTCTCCAATTTTTGAAATCTCCGTTGAAATTTAAAGTCAGCATTTGAAATCCTCCAGGAATGCTATAGACTTCACAAGAATTTCTCGAAGTATTACTTTTGATAATGGAATCTCTTTGGAAGCAAATATTTTCGGACCTGGGGAAGTTTTGCGCTGTTGTTCTTTTCATTCAACCTCGGGTGGATATAATTTCTCAATTACAAATGATACAAGTAACGTTCGTGATTTTCATTGCTTAGCTCTGCACTTGTTTTTAATATTGCGTCCACGCGTTATACCAATCTCTCCTGATGAAATGGACAAAATATGTAGCATCAGCGTAGTCTTAGTAATCTTGAAAAAAAAGCAGTTCCTGATAGTATCACTGAGTGATTATGACTATGACCTCAGCGTTAGGCCTAATCTACTCCTCCGAAGTGGCTTCTTCAGGCTTAAGACTAGCCCAGTGACTCAAACAGCGGTACAGCGGTCTAATTCTACGTTTCAACTTCCCCCACCCCAACCTCACCTCTCTAATACGGCCCTATGGCTTGGTCTATCATAAACAAATGCGGCAAAATCTGATTTTCAGTGGCTAGCTTATCTTGGGAGCAGCATCTACATTAGATTAGTTATTAATTATAAGACTGGTAATAATATATTATAGGGGCCAGATACTACAGTAGTAGTGATGCCGGTCATCACTAGCACGTTGCTCTGGTTCAATCCTGCACCGGGCTCACCAAGCCTATAATCCCTCTGGTGTTGGCCAATTGGTACCGGGTTTGTCCGAAGAAATCACTCCGCGCAGTCCAATTGGGAATGTTCCAGACCGGATATGTCAGGAACTGCACGGAGAATCGACTCGACCAGCATTCTACGACATTCTAGATGAAAGGGAAACTCTCAAGCAGCAGTCGAAGTTACACGTAACGTGGCCAACGGATGCGAGTAGCGAATCGAATGTGGTAAGTACTGGGATCTACACAGTAGACGTGAAGACGGGTCGTATAAAATACTAAAAAATTTGTTATTGGTGTTATTTCACCAGTTCAGGGATTGTTCTCAGATGCAGTAATTTCATGTGCTAATGGTAAGATCATTCTATGCACTTATTCTCCGCGTAATTAAATTGCAATATAAAGTCTGCTTCCCATAGATTCAACAGGAAAGGAATTTAGGAAAGGAGTTCAATCGGAATAATTAAGTTCATTCCTAGCTGAGATTTGCCACGTAGAAGATATAAAACCATTTATCTCCGAAGAACCAAATAGAGAACGAAGATAACACTAAGGAAGTGAACAAGGATACAGAAAAAGTGTGGCGCGTGTGGCGTAGTGGTCAGAGGTGCCCTACAACACACACGTGGAGTCGATTCCCGCGCTCATCCCGGTACCTACCTAGGCTTCCATCTATCCGGGGTCGGCAAGTTGGTAGCAGACTTGTCTGGGAGGACAGCATCACTGGCTCGATACATCGGTAGGTAACCGCGGGTCATTGTAAAGCTCAGACATTAATTCATTGGCCTCCAAACGATGCTTAATGAAGTCGAATGCATGGCGCACCTCTCAGGGATTGATCGGCACCGAAATATCCTTTTATCCTTTATTAATAGTAAAAGAGCAGAAGGAAAAACAGCTCTTCATCGCTTGTGGGACAATCACTGTCAAAGGAATACCGATCTGACCGTGGTTGCAGCGAAGTAAAACTTCGACGCGAATTGCTGTTCTGACTATTCTCTTGAAGTGTTCGTCACCGTACGCTTTATAAGAAATGAGCTACACCGTACGCGAACTCGTGCAATCACCACTACCGTCGGAGGAATTATACAACTGTGGGTTTCGCATAGACAGTCAAAAAGGGTTGCGAACTATCTGAGGACTGGGAGTGTCCGGTGGCATTTCAATCATTGCTACCGAATTCGCTAGACCTGCCCTTCTTAAGCAACGTTTTATAGTTGTGCTTAGTTCGCTGGAAACGAAAAGCAGTCTAGAAGGGAACGTTATTCTTTTATTCTTGTAACCTATGTATTAAGTGTCATCTGCTGAGGTTATGAAAATGTTTGGCTGAGTAGATAATTGGCCTTTCCAAGCCCTGAAGAAAGTGGAACCACCGAAGCGTCGTTGATGACTGGATTACTCTTGTTAATTATAAATCCATGTCTGCTCAAGAAGAAAGCACTAATTTACTGAATGTGATAAATAAGCCACGGATCTCCTTCATAGAGGGATCTCATGCAGCTTAGTCTCGAGGCAATGTGGCGCCGCACCAGGTAGGCGGTTGGTCGCAGACTTAAATCGATCTTTGCTTGCCGTAAACGCAGGTGGGTTTATGGAATGGAATCCATATTTCTACTCCGCCGATTTGACACATACCTTCTGTATTTATAAGGATGTGTTCATGCATGCGCGCGTGGGTGTGTTCTCGTTTACGCGGATTCCATTCTACGACTCAGTTCGGCCAAAAGCCTGCAATCAAGTGACAGGGAAATATCAGGGAGGCGATTAGGAGTCGCCTCCAGTGGGTAACCTCCCTTGTCTACTCTGGGAGGGAGTGGCGAATCACCCGTGAGTGTACCCAGTCTCCACGTTCGGAGCTCAACCACCTGTACATGAATCTCAAACACTCAGCACAGCAAAATAAACGGGCTCAATTTTCCTAACCACGATAGAGCCCATGATATGGCAGTATTAGGTGCGATGGGTACAGAAGGGCTACTAAATCTCGGAGCCACTCTAGGCTGACTAAACGGCAAAGGGCCAAAGTGACGGTCTATACATATGCGGCACGTACACTTGCATTTGAGTGCTCGATAAAAGACTTGATCATGCAGGCAAAAAGGATAAGGTACAACGTCATCGGACTGGCTGAAACGGGATGACGCTACTTATTTCACGCGGTCTATGATACCGAAGAAGAACTGTACCACGAAACATGCGGCAGTAGAGGAATCGGTGGCGTCGTGGTTTTAGTCAACACGAGTTTGTCCTAACAACCCGAATCAGACTTTTAGGGTTGAATAGATGCGGATCAATACTGGCTTTGGTAATCTTCGTCATTTATGCACCATCATCAAGCTATGACGGAGAAGAAGTCAAAGAGTTCTATATGGACATAGAGAAGTTCTACAAGGGGCAGACTTTGGCCAGGCTCACCTCAGGATCCCAGCGAGCCACAATGGCTCGACCGGAAAGTCTCCAAAAATGGAAAAAGTGAAAAATTAGGATTGTGTTGGATCCCGCACAACTAGTGAAAATGGGGTGGTCCAAGTATCCAAGAAGTTTTCTACAGAGAAGACCACACATTCCTCAACGCCATCATTGGAGACTTTAACGCAAAGATTCGATCCAAAAGCATCTGAGGAGCGCCACATTGGAGCCAACGGATTAAAGTGGAACGAGCAGGTTGTGTGCGATCTGAGTTTATCATGATAACGATGACCATGTATGGTAATTTGCAACTGCAGAAGCCCACTGTCAACGCATGACATGATGGCCTCCCACAGCACTGTAACGAAGCGGGCTATATCACGACAGATCGAAGGGTTTACTTAACTGTTGTCGTTGTTGTCCCAACATTCAAAACGGCATCTGAGCATTGCGTCCTTCATGCAAAATCTCATTTCTCGTTGAAGGAAGAAAAAGCAGCTATAATAAATTCAAACAACGAAGCTCCAAAACTACCATAAACTGGAGTTTATTCAATTCGATAGTTGGCTATTGGGAAGATCCTGTTCTTAATAACATCGACGAGTAATGCGATCGGCCCATTCAAGATCTTCACTTTAGCGCTACGAAAGCTGAGAGTTTGAAAGTCACCAAGAGACGTCTGCCTTCAGAATTACCTGAGCTGGTACGTTAATATGGAATCGCACGAGCTGCGGGCAACCACCAACTTTGCCAATTACAAAACCAAGATAATTGCATTCTGACACCCAAGCGGAAACGTTACAGCTTCTAAAAAGTCAGTGGAGAAGGGCATTTACGATTACTACTCGGATCTCGTCAATAGCCACGTCCTCCTGTCCTCGAGTTCAAGGTTACTGTTAGAAGATCAGCGAGAGCGTGCTATTGTTCAAGAATGGCGATCTCGACGATATCGGCAGCTATCGCCCGCTTGCTATCTGTCGTGTACAAACTTTTCGCTCGAGTCATTTTAAACAGGATTCATAGAACACTGGACGAAGGACGGCCATGTGAGCAAGTAGGGTTTCGAAAAGGATCCAATACGATAAACCACATCCA